ATTAAGGGGTGCTGGGCCGTGCAAACCGGCCTAATCGGTTCCTATACCCGGTCTAGCCGTTTCCTCCTTCGGGTCGCCTGGAGGGCCTGTGCAGCCGGCTAAGCCGTTGCACCAGCCGGCCAAGATGGGTCACCAGCCGGCCAAGCCAGGTTGCCAGCCGACCATCAGCTAGAACCGGCCAGGCCAGTTTGGCTGTAGTGGTTGCGCTGCTTCGCGTGTTCTACTGCGCTTCATTGAGTTTCGGGTGAGTGTGCCACCTGTGTTTCTCTGGTTTTCCGGAGGGTATCTAATCACTTGTTGTATCGTGTGCACTCCACTTGGAGTTTTGGAGTTTTGAGGGCGGTGTTGGGACAGTGGCAAATTGGAAGAAAATTAAATTAGGTTCCCATTCAACTCCCCTCCCTCTGGTCGCCTTTCTTGGTCCTTCATTCTACGGTTATTATCTAATTTAGCTGTTGCAGTTGTTTTTCTTTTTTTTTAAGCTATGTTTGGTTTAGCTTCTAGAAATTAAAGTGCTTCTACCGCAGAAAACCAATAAAATAGGTAGAACCAGAGTTGCTTTTTCAGAAGTTGCTTGTTTCATGTAGTACAATTTTTGGCTTTCAACTTTATGCTTTTTCCAAATGGGTAGAAATAAAGAGAGGGTTTATATCTATTTCGAGGGAGATAAAGATATATGGTAGATTTTATAGTTGTCTTAACCATCAGCTTATAGGTTTTCCATAGCTCATGGTAGCATTTTCACAACGTACACCTAAACCAAATAGACTCTTAAGTAGATTATTTTTTAAAACCGACTCTTAGTAGATTTAGAGACTGGATTGACGAGACACTTATCTTTCTTTGTTTAATATAAATCGTGGCCAAACTCTTGTCGTCCTGAAAGAAACGATAATCCTGGCTCATAAAGCCATAACGTTACTACTTGCTTTGTGGTTTTCTATGGGTCGTATTTGTGCATGAATAATTGATGAAACGGCCTTGATTTGAAAACTTAAGGCCTTGTTCGACTGGTTTATAAGTCGCTTGTGGCGATTTGTACGATTAATTTATTGAGAGAGAAAAATAATATACCATAAACTGGCTTATACCGAACACAATCTTAAAGACCAACACAAACTCACAAGCAAGAACAGAACTGCGGTAGCTCAGGCATTTGTCAAAGGTATGTCATGTGCTCCTCTGACACGGAGAAAGAGAGAAAAGATAAGACACACAGAAGCACAGGTTTCCTCAATTTACCTGACATGCATGTTGGAAAAAGCGTACTCTATCACATGTATGTCAGACTGCTTTGCTGCGTCACAGTGTAAACTGCCTCGTAGCCGAAAATTCAGCCCTTGTTTAGTTGTAGGAATTTGGATTTTGGAGCTACTGTAGCACGTTCGTTTTTATTTGGCAAATAGTGTTCAAATATAGACTAATTAGGCTCAAAACGTTCGTCTCGTGATTTCCCACCAAACTGTGCAATTAGTTTATCTTTTCGTCTACATTTAATGCTCCATGCATGGACCGCAAATATTCGATGTGACAGATACTGTAGCAACTTTTTGGAAGTTGAGGTGGAACTAAACACGCTGTCAGACTGGCAAACCAGACCAGATCAGATCATGATCAGATCAGGTAGCTGTTCAGCTTTGAAACGACCAACACTTGTGCAGTGTTTACTGACTTTATTTCTGCATACACAGGCACACAGCCAGTCAACTAACCGTGAGACGCATACAGACTCAATTTCGCATGTTCCGCGGCTCGTATCTAGCTTATAAGTCGGGTTTATCAGTCAAGAAATAGTATTTTTCTTTTACATCAAACCAGCCAGCAGTACTTTCAGTTATAACTTATAAACCAATCCAGCCGAAACGAACAGGCTATCCTAGAATGCACTCGATGTGGAGTTGGTAAGAACCACCTGTGAGTGACTCAATTAGGGGACTAATAACTGCTGAAAAACCTGGTCCGGGGGCTCTATATTGCATCAAATTTGCCTCCGTTAGTGGTTGTGTTTGTAATGGAAAAGATCATGCCTGATTTCTCGCTGGGATTCTCACTCTACATGCACAAGTATTATATGACCTTCACTGAGTTCTTTTCTGTTGCCGGTGATGGTCCTTGCCTGATCCTGACCCTCCTCACGCGCTTCGTTGATGAATAGCACATCTTTTCACACACCTTTTCCTCCATGGCGCCTTCCTCTTCTTTACAAACTTTTCCTCCCCTCTCAAACTGCCAACCTTCTTGATGCACTGCATTTGGCACACTTGTCAGTTGTCACAGCAACAATCCATGGGCAACTGGCTAGAATGGATCTATGCCAGCTTGATCCCATTCCTTCCTTGCGCCAACCTATCAATCTATCTATCGATATCATTGTTCTACTCTTGTGTGACATGCTAGGTTATGGTACAACAAATCATTAACTTGCTGCTGGCTGCACATTTTGGTGGAGCAGCTAGCTAAGCCTAGGTCCTGCCCATACTTCTTTCCTAGAACAAATCATTGGTGATCAATTCAAATATATATAGATAGATAGATGGTACTGGTAGCACACAATGTTCATTCCCTTTATGATTTATAAAACGCATGTATCTGATCCAAGCTACCAAAGGAAGAATCATTTCATTATGCTTGGGATCTACTTAATGGCCCATTCATACAGTAGGACCCAAAATAAAGGGGAGAGAGAGAACATTTAAGAAAATGTGAGCTTATGATTGGGGAGCTCATAGAGGGGTGGTTGGTGATGTACCTATTGTATTCTAGGCATGGATTATTGTACAGGGCTCTCATCATTGGGATACTTTTGATGACATGGATGTTTGGGTGCTTGGTCCCCTCCCAAAACTAGCTCTTTAGCATAACTTTGTTAATTAGGTATAAGGCTGGATATCGATTTCTTGACAGAGTGGAAGAATGTCCGAGGATGAAATAAAGTTGATATATACTCCTAGCTTGTACAACTACTCCATGTAAGTACAGGCTGTGTGATAGAACAATGATATGATCTTTCTTTCCATCCACAAAGTACAGTAGCAGGAGTTTTCGAGTTCCTTTAATTTTTGGGATATGAATCTTCACATGTCACTGCAATTTTGCTTGGGAATGTGAACTAGAATAAATAAATAGGCGTAGCACCGGTTGAATTCAGAGTCCCCTGACACGGGTTAAATTACACATGATTTTCAACATGTGTAAAGCCGAAATGTTTTTTGTTTCTTTTGAGTGCGAATTTTCTGTTAAAGAAGATAAGAAGGTGAATGTGGCCCCTCTTGAGATAGACTAATGGAAAGTACCTTTCTTTCATGTCCAATGTGCTGGGGATGACAGATCATATGACAAGCAATCATATGACAAGCACGTGTCTTTCATGTCCAATTCAGTTAACCTTTAGTAATTGAATATGACTACACACAAGATCTGGATCTTCCAGTTGCTATCCTTTTCCCAGGAACCATATTACAGATGGATCAGATCCCATGGCACAGATAGACCACAAACTGAGCCACAGGAATGATGCATCCACAGCCAAGAAACTGATATCCGAACTGGACTGGAACAGTCTTTGGTCAGAAATGACCTCGAGACAGGTGGTTGGGATGCCTACTTCAGAACCAGAACAGATAGGGCAAGTTCTGTCCAAATATATTTCGGTAAATTCGGTCAAGAAAGAAACATCACAGCCTCATGGTTAGAATAAAAGCATAAGAAATTCGGTTGCATCTCGAGAATACCAACCTTCCCAGCTAGGTCCAACAACTTCTTTCATAATTCAACTACTTTCACCCAAAATTGCATCCAACCTCTTCAAGTTTGTATGATTCTGATCCCAGCTAAAATAGGCACTTGCTAGAACCAAACACTGTAGTTGTTCGTCATCTAGCACCAGTGAAACTATGTTATCAAATGCAACCAAACAATCTGGCAGTAAGCAACAACGCCACGCATATGCAGAGAGCCATTCAAGCAACAGGCATTGTAATCAAGTATGAAACATGCCACATGAGTACACAGGCATGATGGTACAGATGGAATCGTCGCTTCACAGCTAGAACATAACCTTCTCACTTCATTATCCCCCAACCACTGCTACCAAATTTGACAAAAGGATAAAGGATACCTTTCGATATCTATGATCAATACTACAGAGAAACAGGGATATTGATGAAGATGTTAGCCATAGAATCAAAGCAGGATGGATGAAGTGACGCCAAGCATCTGGTGTCCTATGTGACAAAAGGATACCACAGAAGCTAAAAGGCAAGTTTTATAGGACGACAATTAGACCTGTTATGTTATATGATGCAGAATGTTGGCCTAAAAAAGACGACATGTTCAACAGATAAGTGTCGCGAAAATACATATGTTGCGTTGGATTTACGGTCATACAAGAAGGGATCGAGTTCGGAACGATGATATACGTGATAGATTAGGAGTAGCACCAATTGAAGAAAAGCTTGTCCAACACCAGCTGAGATGGTTTAGACATGTCCAACGAAGACCTCCAGAGAGAGACACCGGTGCGTAGTGAAATCCTAAACTAGGATAATAACATGACGAGAGACAGAGAAAGACCAAAATTGACTTAAGTAAAGACAATAAAAGAAGACTTTGAAATGATGAAATATACCCAAAGACTTAGCCTTAGATAGGAGTGCTTAAAAAACAGTTATTCACGTGCCTGAACCTTAGATCGCTTCTGCTGGGTTTCAACTTTAGCCTACCCCAACTTGTTTGGGACTTAAAGGCTTCGTTGTTGTTGTATAAAGGGACAACAAAGGAAATCCTCCACCCCCAAAAGCATGGAGAAATCATCCAGACTTCAGCTTGAAATTGTTGGTGCATACAGTCACGGTTGATGCTTGATACAATTCCTAAACATCATGGTTAGGTCAACTTGCCTTTTTCACATGGCTATAAATCTAAAGGTTGCTACATGTTCAATGCCGAGTGGGTACAAGGATGTGAACCAAGTCGAGTTGGTAGTTAGACAGCTGAGCGCTTCAGTTCGCAGAAGGTGGTGGGATATCCTCGATGACACCTTTGCCATCAGCCACATCAAAATAGAAGAAATTCTTGACTGGATCACCCTTGCAGGATATTGATTTAATCACCTCCTGTTAGGTACAAGGTGAAGCTGTAAGCACAATGCTAACACAAAAAGAGGATGGTTTGCAATTAAACATTCAATTGAAGAAATCAAGTCCTGTTTTGGAAAGCTAATCATTCAACACTAAAGCTTTCAATATCTCAGAATGAAAATTCATAGACAGGTTTCCAAAGTCCCATGAGTTGTCCTAGTTAATTGGGCTTTGGAACAACCAAAAGTTATCCAAGACTATGAATCATGTACTTGTTCAAGATGATTTTCAATATGTTTAATCGGCCCTACAAGTGCCTTTCATCAATAGTTACGCTAAACATGTTAGATTTTGTGGCACTTGAACTAATCTTGTTATGTTCCAGTGTAATTAAGCTTGTTCAGAATCGTTTAACTCTATGGTCGGATTTGCTGATTAAAGATCATAAATAGACCTCTGCCCATACACATACCAGGAGCCAGAAAAGTACCTACACAGATCAACAGAAGATGCTTCAAGTTCTCTATGTCATTGACTGAGAAAAGCATAGTCACTCAAGATCACTGTACTTTTCTAACTGAGGCAGTTCCATATTTTAGTTGTTATCCAGTTTTCAGTCGTTCACAAGCCAACCAAACAACAAATAGAAGATATATATATGTGAGAGCCATGGTTCATAAGAAAAGGAGGTATGTAATGCAAATGCAAACAAATACTAGCTCAGAAGAAGCAGTTCATAGATTGAAGTATAGAACCTACCTGACCAAGAATACCACCTAGGATAGCACATACTGGAGGATGTTCCTTCTTTCCAGCTGCTAGCAGTCGTTCCACGAGAGTCGTAGGAATACGAGACTCATTCAAAGACTGCAGTTAACAATAAGCTGTAAAAATCAGAAGGAATATGAGCTAAATTAAGACAGAAAAAAAAACTTCAATACCATTTTATCACACAAATCCTTCCTCCGAGCCAAAACTGCATGTATATCAGAAAGTGTTGTTTCGCCAGGGCTGCGCCCTTCAGATAATTCATAATCCTCCAGTACTGCAGAATGATAAAGTGTTGTTTCACCAGGGTTTATGAATCAAAGACATAATTGTTGAACTCAGCACTTTCCAAGTTCCATAATTTGGGTAGTATAAACTAAAACAGGGATTTTCTTTTTTTGCGGCGCTGTCTTAAATTTTGTAAACCTCACCTCTCATGGCAAAGTATAATTTTGATGTCTTCTTCGGTAGATTATTCCAAGGTACAGAGATAGCTTCCTGTAAGGACAAATAAATGCACTTATTGTGTTTAATTGAACAAAATTGTAATGCATTTCCTAATTAAAGCATTCAAAATGGTAAGATGCAGATTTCTGGAAACAGATCAGACATGACTCTTCCGACATACATTGAGCTATGAAGTTTAAACAAATATGCCATTAGGCACTGCCAGTTAATGGATTTGTCATAGACAAGCCGACATTTAGGTAGATGCAATGCATAATACAAAGACTAGAGCTAACTTCAAGGCACCTATTACCCAAAAAAGTTACTCCCTCCGTCCCAAAATAAGTGTCGCTATGGTATTCGTGTCGGTCAAAGTTAAGTTTAACTAAGGTTTGTAGAAAATATTAGCAACATTTGTATCTCGAGATAAGTTTATTATGAGAGATTCAACGATCTATATAATGATACTAATTATGTACTATAAATATAAATATTTTCTTTTATATATCTGGTCAAAGTTGAAAGTGTTGACTCCTCGAGATACGAGAATGACACTTATTTTGGGATGGATGGAGTATTAAAAGTGAACTGAAAATCGATGAACAGCACTCTCTTTTATTTTTCATCACCGCAACTAAATAAAGTAAATCTAATTGTATTATTACAGAAAATAATGGCACGCCATTCACATTCAAATATAGAGATGTAATTCAGATTGCTTCATTCTATAGCATAACCTGTATCAGTTGCATCACATCTATTTTACAGCAAATGTTGCAAGCCAAAAACACTATACTCAGCAATGCAAAACATGAAGAAGGTATGTTTAAGTCAAAATAATTCTATCAAGCTTTAAAAGCCACTGTAAACCTAAGTCATCTACCTGAAGACTAGGATATGTCAACTCCTGTTGTTCAGTTGCTCCTCCAGGCTTTTTCTGAAAACAAAAAATGAAGACAGCTTCAGGAATCAGGATGGTATTTTCAGAAGAAAATTTATAATCACAAAACATAAGAAATTGTAACAGAACATATAAGGTTCTCAAACAAACATGACTACAAAGGATAAGAAACTCTTTCACCATGTGACTTAATCTAAAGAGAATTGCATCAAAGGTTTGATGTGAGACTGTTGCCTTCCCCAACTTGCTAGGGACTAAAAGGCTTTGTTCTTGTTGTTATTTTTGTTTTTTGATGTGAGACTGTTCCATGGTTTAAGCACAACATGCCAGGTTTTTCTGTATCTCTTCCCTGTGGACAGGGAAATGAAACAGCAGTAGGACTTGGAATATGACAACCCATGAGAAGGCACATAACTAAAAGTTGTACCACAAAATCACCAGGATTTCCCATGATTTCGAGTATTTCCCATGCAACAAGGCAATCAAGGAAAACAGTAATGGTGTTCCTCACATTTTAACTGCATTTATGCACATTTATAGTTTTGAACAAAATGAACAAATATTATGGGCAGAACATAGCTCAATTGCAAGCGGCTGCACAGGGATGCTTAGGTCATAAAGGTATACCTGCTCCTAGTTGTGAACATTGAAAATACCACTTCAACTGCTATTTGACAGATTTGTAGAACCAGTATTAAACATGTTCCAGTGTGCAACATACCTGAACATAGCTATGCTTCTGTAAATCAACAAATATCTCACCACATGAATCCTTGCAATCTATAGTATAAAATGCAATGTGTTTGCTTCTCTTTCGGCAGTTTTCATTAATAAACAACTGAAAAATAAAAAAAAATACAAAAACATCATGAGCATGACAAACTTCCTGTACAGTCACACGACACAATAAAAAGTAGAATTACTATTTCCAGAGAAGAATATGCACCTTTGTTTTAAGAGATGCACGGCTAAGTACAACAATGTCAAACTTGTCTAGGAATTCTCCATCAATTAGTGATGGATCACCTGAAGGAAACAACAAATCAGAGATACTTCCAAGCATCAAATCTGTTAAGAATCTTAGAAATATAATAATATGGTAACAGCTTGTACTATTGTACCTATCAGAAAATCTCAAGGAGAATTAAGCTTGTAGAATTCTGAAACAACTACGCAACTTAGTACTAAGAAAACATCATATAGTCACTAAAGATTTTTTTTCTTAGAAGAATTTCTTAACCACCACCATCAGCTCAAAATACATATTGAAATAGCATCTCCCCTTAGTATAAGAAAGTAGGATCACAACAATTCAAGAATGGAAAGAAGAGATCCTTCTTAGCTGAGATTGAAACTAGCAAGAAGTTTAGACTCAACCTTACCCTTTTCAACAGAAACTCGAACCATAGGATTGAAATCTATCAAAGACTCGCAGCAAACATTGGCTCGAGATCTACCACCATATATGCTCTCATCAGGAGGAATTAGGAAATTTGCATTCAGATCATCTTCTGTTACTACATGATCATCCATCAAGGATAAACTTCCAACTCCAGCTAGAACAATATTCTTGCAGAACTACACCGTAGGAAAGAAACCACCACTGTCAGTGCATGATATGATGCTTTCATTAAATACCATACAAAAAGTTTAAGTGCTCAACACAGTGCAAACTCACACTTTAAATCAATATTGTTTCGTACGCTGCTGTTATATTGTCATTTATATTTAACACATTCTCTGTGAACACAATGATCTTGTTGTGATGGCTAAAACTTAGTGTCATCTTTTAGCCATAAATAATATCAGAATAACAGGGAGCAACTCCATGTTTAAAGCACAAATAAAACAACAGCACAAACTGTTGAAATATATCCACAACTTGACAGTTTAAGGCCCCATTTGGATTAGATAGAGATTGTCAAAAGCTGGGGTGCTGTTTGGATACCTGCACTGTGAGGGGGCTGGATTGCTGGTTTTGGATGTCAAAAGTCTTTAACACCATCTCCCTCACACCCCTCTGTCTCTTTCACTCTGACCCTTTCCTCCTTTCCCCAAATCGGCACCCCCCTCTGTCTCTTTCACTCTGACCCTTTCCTCCTTTCCCCAAATCGGCACCCCTCACAAGTCACAACTCTCCACCCACACAAGTGCAAACACCATGGATGACAACTCCAACAGCTCCTGCTCCACCCTGTTTGCCAGTGTACTACCCAGCCTCGGTGCCAAGGAAGACCCAAGATTAAGCTTGCAGTGGAAAGGGCTGGGGTGCCGGGCTTCTTGGGGTTGTGGTGGTGATCGCCCCCACTGCGGAAGCAGGAAACCTTCTTGATAGGGTTGACCTGGACACATGGCTGCTTCTTCCCCAGTGGAAAGGGATGGGTATTGGCGCGGCAAGAGGGCTCGCAGCAGAGCTAGCGCAAGGCGGCGAGCGCCATGCCACTAAGGACCGTCATGATGGTGGTTAGGTGAAAGGATGTCAGCTCCGGGCTCGCTGCAGTGCGTCGCGGTCAGCTGCAACCGCACGTGAGAGGAGTTCAATGTGGGAGGGCAGTGCTGTATTTTCGCAATGCACAAGCTGCTAAAAGCTAGGGGAGGGTGCTTGTGGGACTGAAAATCTGGGCTAGAGATTGATAAAAGCAGTATCCATAAGCAAACAATCTCTAGCTGATCCAAACAGACCCTAAGTAGCTTCCACAACTTAGTTCTCAATAAGTACTTAAGATATTAATTCTAAAAGAAATATAAAAGGAGGCAATAAAGTATAAGTCTCAACTCAAAAAAAATATATATGTGGAGAACAGAGATTTTGTAACTGAAATTCTACACAAGCTAGAAGAATAAACAAAGAGAAATAAAATCAACAGGTGAGACAAACAAAAGCTAACAGGTAGTGCCTAATAGATGGAATAACTATCAGTATCTTTTTCCAGATAAGATCAGAATTCACGTGGGAAATGTAATTCTGACAAACAGCACAAACATTGTTACATAATACTAGTAATAAATTCCAAGAAAAAATTATAACTATCTAGTTCAAAGGAATACCTAAACTTGGGTTGCACTATAAATAATACGAAAAAATTATTACTACACTAAACTGTAATTGCTACTCACTGGAGTAGCAGAAAAAAATTAAACACTAATCGTTACTCGCTAGAGTAGCAGAAAGGTACCTCGATGGTGGTTCCGTTCATGCCGCACACAAGCACGTGCGCCTTACTTAGTCTGTTACAGGAAACGCAGATGTAACAGTTAGCACGGAAAGATACTAAGATGCATGACGAAAACGACTTCGGGAATAAATTGGGGGGAGGTCCAGCAAACTTGTGAAACAGCAGCAGCAATCAGGGCTTTTTCACACCAAAATGCAAGCTTTGGATCTATAATCTATCTATAATTTATAACAATAAAAAACTGGTGCACTACACTACACATCCGAAATAAATAAAATATAATAAACCACCCAAAAGATGGCAACTTTTTTAGCGACAATAACCGACGCCGTGCTCCAAATAAAGATGAAGAAAAATAGAGCAAAAATTAGTAAAACCGAAACAAAAGAAGCAGGAGTGGGGGAACAAACAAGAAAGGGCAAAGGCAGGAGAGGTAGGCCTTTGGCGGCTGCGCACCTCTTCTGGGCATCGACGCCCCAGACGCGGATCTGGCGGTCGTAGAGCGCCGTTTCCTGCGCCGTGAGCTCCCCCTCCGCGCCGCCCGCGCCGCCGCCGTCCATCGCCGCCAGCGCCCGGATCCCGAGCCTGAGATGCCAATCCGGGTTAGCCGCCGAGGAGAGATTGGGGGAGGGGATAGTGGACGAGGGTTTTGCAGGAGGAAATTTCTTCGTTTTTTCCCCTCTTGTCCTTTTGACTTCGGAGAAGAGGCGACCAATCCACGGGTTCTCTGGGCAACTGCGTCATCGAGCCGTCCGTCATCGATGAACGAAGAAACGAACGGTCCGGATTTACGCTAGGGAAGCTTAGTCTAGTTTGGACTTGGGATTTGTGATTTATTTTTATCCGAAATACATATGACAAATCTTCCTATGATCGACCAATATAATAACAGGATAATGTAAGAAAAGCATGCCAACTTTGTGAAATGCCTCTGAGTTGGGAATTTTGGAGGAAGAATAAAAATTTGATGAATGCAGGCGTACCTACGGAAGAAACATATCAAATCGGCCACAAACTTGGGCAGATGATCCATCACGGAAAGACTTTACCGATGGCTGGCACAGAACAGTGTCGTAGTTCGTGTAAGGGTCCCATAAAAAGACGTCGTCTACGCAGCTCTATTTATGTGTGTGTGCGCGCAGTTACACAAGAAACAGATAGATAGTAGAAGGAGAAGCATTTTTCATCCGTCCCTTCATTTGCATCGAGTGCTCTCTTTCTTGGGATTCTCAAGCGAGTGAATGAATGAATTCGACTGAATGCTCTGCACTGTGTCTATCCATTTGATGAGAACGGAAAAGGGATATTTACTGCGTGTTGCACACTCGAGATCTCAACGGATTCGAAATGTATTCCTGGTGATGCAAGCATAGTACTTGTCAATAAAAAGGCATTCAAGCGATGATGTAATCATAGCTTAGCTTCTGTTCGTTTTGATTTTTTTTTTTGAGGGAATTCTGTTCTTTTTTTTTTTGAAACTAATTCTGTTCGTTTTGATCGATCTCTTATTTTGCGACGCGATGTAACATAACTTTTTTTTAGGGGAACGCGATGTACATAACTGAGGCGATGTGAAAATGTTTGTGGGCCTGAGGCCCATTGTCAGCCCGCTGCTGCTCTTACCGCCAAACAAAGCCCAAATCAAACAATTTTGCTATTCGTCTTCTAAAAAAAAGGAAAACCCTTTTGCTATATGCTTATAACATTTTGCTATATATACTCTTTCGGGTGACAGAAACCAGTTTATATACAAATCCGCAGCTAATTAAACATATATATATTTTTTGTTACTGACATACTCCTACTTATAGAATTAGAGGTCACGATTCAATTTTATTGATTCCGTGCACATCCCAATTTTTTTGTGCACGTAGTTTTTTTTTATGCAATTATTTAGTGCCCTCCTTGTCCATCTACCTTCCCTGATCAATGAATTGATCACGCAGTCTTGGAGAACCAGGTGATGAGGATTTTATATATACATTTATAAGCCCTATTTGGTAGGGCTCTTCTCCAGCTCCAATGGAGGAGTCCTATCAAACTGTTTAGTAGGAGAAGCTGTTTCGGTGAAAAAACAGAGTTGAAGCTATTTTAGAGACCAAAACGGCTTCAACTTCTTCGGAGAAACCCTTGTGGAGGAGCCCTATGAAATAAACCCTAAGAGTTCACCTACCATTGTATACAGATTTTCGTATCTAGTACTGCCTAGTATTACTGCCTACCAGTACTTTACATATTAGAGCAATCGTATATAAGTTGTTTAGGGAAAGCCTCTTAGACCATTTTAGCACTTTGTGGCACTATTTTAGCAGATTTAGTGCATCACCGTCATATCTACATTCTATTTGTTCTTAAAATTTGCTATGAGGAACTGATAAAACAGACCCAGATTGGGTGACTTTGCTCTCTCCATCCACCCACCAATTCAGATCCAAAGGCCACCGTAGTTTGAAGCAAGAGCCGTTTTCAACAGCAACCAGTCCATGTTCCTGCAGATCGTCGATCAAGCAAGCCTGCTGACAAGTTCAAAACTATTGCTACGGTTTTTTTATGCATACAGTATCACAACTCATTTATTGTAACATGATTGCATACCCCTCCAATTGTTTGAGTAACGCCGTGTTTAGTTTCAAAAAGATTTCCTAAAAAGTGCTACAGTATCCATCACATCGAATCTTGCGATACGTGTATAGAGCATTAAATGTAGACGAAAAAAAAAACTAATTGCACAGTTTGGTGGGAAATTACGAGACGAACGTTTTGAGCCTAATTAGTCCATGATTGAACACTAATTGCCAAATAAAAACGAAAATGATACAGTAGCCAAATTTCCAAACTTCAGCCAACTAAACACGGGCTAATTTTTAGTACAATAATAATCCTGGAATGGAAACGGTATTTTGATGAACTAGTAGTCACTAACAAACATGCCCGTGCATTGGAACGGAAAAAATTAGACCATACTCATACTCAAGTGTATTGGCATAAATTTTAATTTTTAGGAAATTATGCATCATTGTTAGGTAACATACTTGTTTGCAAATATTTTAAATATAATACTCTAAAAGTTACAAAATTAAAAACATAACTAAGTTTTAAAAATCTTTCTTCTATGCAGCACAATAGTTTAAATTAACTACAATAAATAATAAAAAACAACCTCAGGAACCTGAGTGAATTCAGCCGGCCCATACGGTCCTACCTCACGTGCATCTTTAGTCCAAAAATCATATAACTGGCGAAATTAGTTAGGAGAGGCCATAACAAAAAAAAATCGGAAAAAATAACTCTTTAATATTAAAAAAATAATATTAGGTATAGATAAAGACGTTGGACTCTCCAAAATACGTGCATAGAAAAACAGAAGACCAAATAGAGTTTCTTTGCTTTTCACACCTCACCTGTCGATCTCCGAGTTTGAACCAAAGTCACCTACTTTGATTAAACTACGTGTGGCTGGTTTTGCCTCTTTTGCTTGCCCTTATGTCATGCTCATGCACACGTGTTTTTTTTTTTGACGTGCCAAAAGCAAATAAACTAATCTGAGTTGCATCGTTAACACCAGCAAAGTGACTTCGACTCCTAATACACGCGACGCCTCCTTACGGTAATCCGTTCTGCTGTTCTTGTACACAACTATGCACACGTTGATAGTTCTCCTCATATACACAAAATTATTCTTCTCTCTTCTTATCTTTGCCAAATACTGTCTGCCTAGAATCTGATCAAATAAACGATCCTTCCAAAGGAAAGAACAATCCTTGACCTACCGACTATTTTTTTTTGCATGCATCTCCTAATCGAACACACCTTGCAACAAATAGTCCACGCCATTAATGAATAAACAAATTGGCCCATTTAATTTTCCTTTCCTTTATCATCAGACTAGCAGTACTCAGCCTGTTCGCTTGCTCATAAACGATCGTAAATTTTCAGTCGGGAACAGTGTTTTTCTCTCACACCAAATCAGCCAGCAGTAAATAATCCACGATACGATACCGCCTCCCGAACAGGCTGACTCTACTCAGACTCCATGATGAGCCTCTGGTGATGGCATGTGTAACGGTGGGCAGATTCGATTCCTCCAAGCCTATAGTGATGGTACACAAAAATCTCTAGGCCTATGGAACGATGTCGCACGAGTAATAACTTTGGCTCTCCGTTTTCTATCCTAAGAGCATCTTAAGAGTTTCTTTTTTGCCTTCCTAATACTTGGTTTTTAAAAAAATCAAAAAAAATCTCTCTCCAACAGTTCCTAATTCATCCTCCTAATATTTAGACACTTGGGAAACGTGAGCCAGTTCCGCGTAACTTTACGTGGCTCTTGAGTCGCGCGGATCCTTCTCCTGCATAGCCCAGAGACGGCTTCCCACGCGACCTGGTGCCCGTGACCGGCAGCGGCCGGCTGCTCCCCATGGCACCGACTGCACGCCCCTCGTGCCTGCGGCTTTGCGCCGCGGCTGGCTTCCCCGGCCCAGCACCTCCCTGCGCCCCATGGCGGTGGCTAGACGCGACGCGAGCCTCGCGACTAGCGTCCCCCGCACGGCTGACCCCCGAGTCAGCGGCCTCGAGCCGGGGCCTGGTCCCCGCGACTGAGCGGCCCTGCTGCTCCACGCCGAGCGGCTTGCAACCCCTGCTCCCTGAGGCTCGCGGCCGGCAGCCTCCGCGTCTCCATAGTCTGTGGCCCTGTGGCCGGCCTTCCTAGCCTGTGGCCGCCATGGGTACTGTGGTCGGGTCGTGTGCTGCGGGTCGTGGCCATCCATGGCTCGATGTGCCTCGCCAAGGCTGGTTGTGGCCGACTCACGATGATGATGTGCTTGTCCATCGATGATGCTACTGAGGCCCGCATGATGATTGCCCATTGGTGGTCATTGTGTTTGTCTCGCCGGGTACATCCGGGCAGTCTGCAGTGCTTGTCTCTTGCTCTCGACGGGTGGCGGCGGTGGTGTGGGGAGGTCGTGACGTGAGGGGTTCGATGCGCCCTGTGACGTCTGGCGTCAGAAAAAAAGCCGCAAAAAATAGATGTGAGACCCAAATTTGATTTTTTAAAAGCAATTTATTAGAAACTCTTGGAGATGGCTTTCTTTTTTCCCTTCCAATATATTTTTAGGAGCTGTAAAATTACAAGTTTTAGGAGAAAAAAATAAGGAACTCTTGGAGATGTCTTTTATGGGTTTCTATATATATATAGTTTTTTTTATATCGGCAAAGAGAAGAAACACAAGCGGGAGGTTTTGACATAATGGGAGTTGGATTCGTATACAACGACGTGTGGGGAGTTCTTAGTTTCCAAAACAAACACAAAGGGAATCCGATTGAAACATCTTGTATTTAGATTAGAATTCCTAGTTATATTCATGTTATTTCAAGATGCTATATAAAACGTGAGAGCCATAAACAAATATGAAGAGAGACAACTTTCACATTCACAGAGTTAGTTAGGGGAAGATGGACCAAAACATGGACGGACAAAAAAAGAGACTGAAATTTTGACTCTTTATTATTACTAGCAAAATACCCGTGCATTGCAACGGGACACATAATTTATTGAATTGTCACTTATACGACTTTTGACTAAAGTGACATGTGTTTCAATTCGTCTTCAAATCGACCGTGTTTTGCTCTAACACGTACAAACATTGTTATACATTATTATGATATTTTTTAAACCCATAAACATTGTTGTATATTATTACAATATTTTGATCGGAAACGCATGAAGCATAAATAAGATGAACATTGTTACAATATTTTTTTAAACTCATAAATATCAGTTATACATTATATCTAACCACAACATTTTTTAAAACGTTTGGTAAGACAGATTATCCTCCTAGTTAAAAAGAATGAAATTACCTTTTTTCCCTTTTTTCCCTCTTTCCTTGTTTTTTTTATCTTTATTATATTATATTATTCTTTCTCTCTCTACCTTATCACCAACGCACGCAGAACCGCACACGCCTATTGGCCTCGCACCTCCCGGTCTTGCACATGGCGTGGAAGCGCCGTCGTCGCGGCCGCAGGCCGTCGCCGCACCTCCAAGCCGCCCTTGCTTGCCCTCCCGGGCGCCTCCGCGCATGCCCCGGCAGCGGCGGCTGCGGCCGCGCTTGACCCCGACGGCTCCTTCTCCGCGACCGGCAGCGGCGGATGCAGCGACGCGTGACCCCCGACGGCTCCTTCTTTGCGATCGGAAGCTGCGCCCGCGCCCGTCATCCCAGCAGCGTCACTTTTTGCTTCTTGACCAAAATCCACGGCGGCGGTGGTTCGTGCGCGTCTTCCTGGTGCGGCTCACGCAGGGCGGGCGGCGGCGCGTGCAGGATGGTCGGCGGTGGCCAGCTAGCTGTGCTGGAGCAGGGCGGCCCAGCAGCGGCTCTTGCGCGGCGGCGCGCAGTGGTATGGCTTGCGTAGGGCGGCCGATGGCAACTCGCGCGTGGAGGCCAGCTATGCCGGTGCAGGGCGTCCGAGCAGCGGCTTGCGTAGGGTGGCTGGTGGCGACTCGGGCGCGACTATCAGCTAGTCGGAGCAGGGCGTCCCAGCATCGTTTCGCGCACGGCGGCCTAACGGTGCATTTTTCAAGCGCGCCACACCAAATCCGTGTCTCGGTGGCCGCCGTCGTTGGCTCGTGTATGTTGTATTCGATTCGGTCTAGTTTTCCACGTTGGTTTCGATTTGGTTTGATGTTTTTTCCTTTGGTTTGATAGAGTTCGATTTGGAAAAGTCTGATTTGGGAGAGGATTCTTTTCTTTCTGTTTCTCTTGCGTCTGATCTCCCCATCCTTATAAGTAGCCCGACCAAAAAAGCGGCGGAAATTATTATTATATATATATATATATATATATATATATATATATATATATATATATAAAGCAAATATGTCTGTGCTTTGCAACGGGAGGAAATCAAAACTTGTATATCTCTGCTTAGTTACTAATATGTATGTTTTGCATTTAATCCATCGATAATGAAGCAATAATTACATTAGAACATTAACCGTTTATAAAAGTGCAATTTAGAATAATGCCAGCCAAATTAGCAAATTCCTTATATCGTGTAAAATCAGTAGAAATATATAAACATACTTAATTATCCATGAAAGAGCGGAAAAGTTCAATGAAAAAGTAGAATCACTGCACGCAGCCCGCCTCGCTCCCTAGCGGCCGCGTCCGCTTCGCCATCGCTGCCGTCGGCGGCAGCTACCTCACCGGCATCCGCTACCTCCTCCCCACCCCTGCACCTTCTCTGCTCGCCTCCCCACCCCAACAGGTCGTCGTGGCCGTCTCGTCGCCTGGCCACCACCGCATCCTGCGGCGCCACATCTACCGGAGGCGCAACCCCCGCTGCCGCTTCTCGGTTAGATTGGACAATAAGTTGCCTAAGATTTCTATTCATGATTTAATTAATTAGACCATTATCTGATCTAGGTTATAATAAACATAATTTTTATTCTTAATCAAATTACATCAATAATTTAGTAGTAGGAATATTAATTAGACCATTATCTTAATCAAATTGCATGCTCTCGTCGCCGGCTGGCCAATACGTGTACTACGCCTCCATCTATCTCTGCTTTCCCTCTCGATCGGTTAGTTTATAGTACACCAGATGTTAGCTATGTTGGACTGTTGATTAATCCTTTGCTTAAAACATGTAGGAGTGATATGCACGATGATGCTTACATACTAGAGTGATCCTCATGGGAACTAACAAAGTGTTTGCTGCTGCTGCGTGCAGGGAGTCAGGAGACGGGTGTTTCATTGTAGAATCCACATCCGGTCTATATAAATAATATTCTTTGCTCTTTATTAGGTTTCTATTATTATATTTTTGTATTTAGATTAAGATTTCTATTCTGGTTACTTGGAGTTGGAGAGATCTAATTAGATTAAGATTCCTACTTATCCATATTATTATATTTTCCCCATTGAAATTAACGATGCTTACATATTCGAGAGTGATCCTCATGGGAACTAACAAAGTGTTTGCTGCTGCGTGCAGGGAGTCAGGAAACGGGTGTTCCAGTGTATAATCCACATCCGGTCTATATAAATAATATTCTTTCCTCTTTATTAGATTTCTATTATTATATTTTTATATTTGGATTAAGATTCCTATTCCGGTTACTCGGAGCTGGAGAAATCTAATTGGATTAAGATTCCTAGTTATTCATATTATTATATTTTTTCCATTTGAATTAAGATTTCTATTGACCCGAAATCGGAGAGATTTAATTGGATTATAATTTCTAGTTATATAAAGAGAAGGGCTATAGACGATTTTTTATATTCACAAAGTTAGTTAAGGGATGGACGGACTAAAAAATAGGTGGATATAAATTTTGCCTCTTTATTATTAGGTCTATATATATTATTAGGTCTTTATTATTAGGTCTATATATAGGTGGATATAAACTTGCGCGTGTTTAGGGTTGCCATGCATGTCTTTCTATAATGCATAATTAAAATAAGATATGGTATGTGTATTTAGTCAATAATAAAGCAATTAAATAAGCTAACATTGAGAGATGTCTGTTGATGCTAATTAGGTCATCACACCGGTAAGGGGCTAGATCACTCAGTGGCAGGGAGGAACAGAGAAACCAGCCTAGCCGCTTTTGGACCCGGTCAAACCATTCTTTATTAGTAGCACCTAAAAACCTCTTTTTCTTGGTTCAAACACTCCAAATACGATGATTCAGATATGTTTTTTGATTGTCATGGTGCCAGAAACATCTTGATAAAGGTCCATTACATGTGCCCATACATTTTTACTGTCAACAATATCATAACTTATAATAAATACATTCACATAGTATGATATGAGAACTAAGAATTGATTATAATGCATAATTACATGAATCTATATTATATTTTTGTAATGGCATACAAATGACATGAAAATTCATAACCATAATCATAAGAGCCTATGTTATGATTTTCTGGAAGGCATAACTTTCTTGTCCGGAATCCATATTGGGTGATCCAAAACTTGATTTCGTGTATCTCGACAAGCTCTTTGACATGTTATAGTCAAATTGGGCATGTGATCATGTGTTTTATCATGTCCCAAGTCACCTTGTTCCCACACTCACATAGTCACCAAAACTTGTGGAAATTGATTAGAATTAAACCCTATGACTATGGTGGATGCCATTCACATTACCAATTTAAGCATAGCTGATGGTATGAAATAAGGAGTTAGTGACCATCAACAAGGACAAAGCAAATTTAAAGGCCTAGCAACGAGAAATAGCTAGTGAATCCATCACCCCTTAGTAAAAACCTACATTGTCGGTGGCAACATGGACAGGTAGGGAAGCCATGTGTAGGGTTGTTGAAGTCGTGCATCTTCACTCCTCATGATGCCATACGCCGCCATCGTCGGCGCCACCACAACTGGGATGGGGTGGGGTCGATGGGGATGGGTCGATGGGGATGAGTCGATGGATCATAGTCCATAGCCACTCTGTCATGTCTAGCACCTTCTACATTGCTAGTTGTGAGCACGGATCGAGAGCGACAAGCTCCAGTGGCGCCCTCCTCATCCGCTCATGTCGCTCCCCATAGGAGCTGATCACCTCGTCCACTCACATCACCTCCGGTAGGGTTGGCTGCCGTTTCCACGTCCGTCTCCCTAGTAGCAGTGCAAAATTGCTAGACGACGACTATGCACAAACGCGGAGAGGTGGGAGTGAACGTTAGCATGAGTCGGGCACAAGGGAAAGGGATAACTCTTGTTGCTGGACGTGGCTAGAAACAAGGATGGTGCTGGGCTATAACGGGGACCGCGCTCGGTGAGGTTGGGGGCGGGGGTGGTTCTCATCTAGGCCGTGGAGTCCAAAGAAGTGATTGAGCGAGGCGGGAAAGGGGGGATTCATTGCGAGGCAAATGCTAGCGGTGGACACAAGAGTGAAAGGGAGGGCATGCAGAACCATCGGGGTGTCTGATGTCGATGGTGTTTTTGGTGCATCGGTCCCACCTATCAACATTGAATTTTAGAAGCACCTAGGAAGGGTTCGGTTGGGGGATTTTGTGCTGCAGAGTTGACATGAACTTTTGAGGCTTTTTAGTTGTAGATATTTTTAAGTTAAACTAACATATGACCTTCCAAAATTTATAATTCACTTATCTGAGCTCTTATTCCATGATCCTTTTATCTAAATTATAATAAATTGTAATCTAATTATAAAAATAGCAAGTTCCTTAATATGCTTCATTACCTTATTGTAACCACTACCGAAAACAGTAAGTATGCCGAGTGCCTGAGGGTTTGTCGAGTGCATTCCATTGGGCACTCGGCAAACCTGCCGTGTGCCGAGTGCCGAGTGCCGTCGTAGAAACATTCGGCAAACATATTGCACTCGGCAAAAAACCTCTTTGCCGAGTGCCTTAAAGTAAACACTCGGCAAATAATAACTAAACACTCGGCAAACATCAGGCACTCGACAAAATAACAGCACGTGCGCCGGCCGTGCAACGGCCACTAGCTTGAGCGCCCTGTAGTTAGCTCTTTACCGAGTGTCCGTTTGTGACACTCGACAATGACATTATTTGCCGAGTGTTTTTTTGTTGGCTCTCGGCAAAGACATTATTTGCCTAGTGTTTTTTGTTGGCTCTCGGCAAAGTTTAAACTTTTTTTTCTTCTGCTGCCCTCAAAAAATTTTCTAACCTCTACATACAGTACGTGGTACTCCATGTTAAAATTTGATATATTTCTCGGTCTGGTTGCTATATTTATTTAATTTATTTCATTTAAAGGATTTTTTTGGTATAACTCAAATTTGAACTGCAAGTGATTCAATTAATGGAATAAACTGAGTGGAAAAATGATATTCATGTTCTTGCATCCAGTGTGAGGCCTTATGCGGGAAATGAAAGGAAATTTCGAACATCTTATTCACGAAACACGACAACGAACGTGTGGTCGAATTATTTTTAAATTCTATAAAAAGCAAACGAAGTCTGAAAATCATGAGATTTGTGAAGATCTCATGATATCATATATGGAGGCTATGGTAAAAAATTAAGAAGGTTTCGCACAATCTGTCACATACGATGTTTACAAACCGAAGTATCTCAGAAGAAGAATCGTAGCGTTGAGAAGGATTCGGTAAGATTTGGAGTCAAAGTGACGGTCGAATTGGGGTTTGACTTCAAAACTTTTTGTATAGGCAATAGAAAACATAGTTTGATTCATGTGTAATTTTGGTAATTTTT